AACAATAATATCAATAAAAACTTCAAATCTTCAAATCAACCAAATAAAAAGACTAAACTCTTAGAGATAAAAATGGAGGGACTAGATTTCAAAAGTTTCAATAGTACAAAGACTGAGGATGGAATTACACCTTCATTTATATTTTTACTATTTATTTTTAGAATGTTTTCCTAAAAGCCAAAAGCCGATGGGGGAAAAAAATAATGAATGGGAGAGAATCTCAGTATTAATTACCCTTGTTTTGTTATATTTTCTAAATTGCCACTAATTTATCGGTTCACCATATTGCCCTTACTTTGAAATTGCCGATGAGGCATGGTAGACCCCGGTTCGGTTCGCTTACTTTGTACTCAATCGTGAATTCAAGTTCAGTTAACGGGTGATTAATAATAACAGTATAATTATAATAATTATTTGTCTGTGAATGTTATATCTATTTTTTTTACTGATTTGGGTAATTTTTAAATTAAAATATAGTATACATTTATAATTCTCCAATACTGTTTGAATAATATTTTTTTACTATCTATATAAATAACACTCAAAAATTGATTTTATAAGATAAATTCGAATTAAAATCTATCGAATTTGAGTCTTGTAGTCACAAAAGGATATCCATGAAATTACAGTAGGGAGAGTAGTTAATAATGCGGGTAAATTAGGCGTTTAATAGTTAAATTATGATTTTTGATCCGTTTTAACATTTTAACTTTTAATATTTTTTAAATTATACTAACATTTAATTTTTCTTTCGTTTTATTAACTCGCTGTTAAAACTTAAAGGGTGATTTGTACGTGACGCTTTTTTATGGGTAAATTGTAACATTCATCACTCAACTATATTCTCAATCCTATTTTGGTCATTGGAGTTTAATTTTTTTAATTTAATTGCTTAACTTTCAAATTACTCCTAATTTAATCACTTTATCTTTCAATTTTTTTAACTGTGTATTAATAAAATAATAATAAATGTCATGTCATGGAAATTATTAATAAAATAAATTAAAGTGATTAAAATATGAACAATTCGAAAGTTGAGTAGTTAAATTGAAATTTGTTAAACTTTAGTACTAAAATAGGAGTGAGAAGATAGTTGAGTGATGAATGAAGTAATTTACCCATGAAAAAGGCAGTATAGTTAAATTTTTAAAGGTGAAGTACTAACTAAACAAAAACTATAAGTTAAGTATGATTTTAATTTTTTTGAAAGTTTAGATATTAAAACTGATAGTTCAGGTACTAAATACGTAATTTACCCATAATAGTGCCAATGTGATTTTTTTTTCAACAGTCAAAATTGCAGCTATCCATTCACATGTTTGAGTTCAATTCAATTCAATTCATAGATACTTATAAAAGGAATCTGTATCCATTTATTACTACAAGTTATGATTATATGATCATCATTTTCCCAGAAAAAAATTGTGGTCCAAACTGGTCAATTGGTGTTGTAGTCGTAAGTAGTAGAAACAACTGCAGATGAAATCAGAGCTCACCCACTTTTTTTCCCATTGAAAGGCCTTTAATGATACAAAAGCTTCAGATTTTGTAGCTTCTTCAAAAGGCAAAATGCAGAGGCTTTCACCCATTAATGTGCTGCTGGAACAGTTGAGAGAGAGAGAGCAAAATTTCGGTGACTTCTTGTTGGGACTAAAAGGCCCACAAATAGGAAGGGCACATGGCATTTCAGACGGATGGCAACGGGTAGGATTAGAGTTGGGGTTTTTTTTTTTTAAAACTCGACATGCACTTGAACTTGATTAGATTTGACTCAGTTCGAAAAATATGTATCATTCACCTAATTTCGATTCGACCCGGCTTGAAAACATATATCATTCACCTGATTTCGACTCGACTCGAATTTTTAAAGTATAAATCCAATCGGATCCAACCCGACCCTATAAAAAAGGATTTAATTAAAATAATAATATTTTTTTTAAAAAATTATATTATTAGCCTTGGTCGGATCGGAGTGTTTCACCCTCCACCTGAACCCGACCGGACCTCACCCCTTAAAAATCGACCCGATCCGAACCTAATTTTTTTATAAAAAAATCCGACCCTATCGAGTCAATTCAAATTAAATTACCATCATTTTTTAAAGTATAAATCCGATCGGATCCAACCCAACCCTATAAAAAGGATTTAATTAAAATAATAATATTTTTTTAAATATTATATTATTAGCCTTGGTCGGATCGGAATGTTTCACCCTCCACCCGAACCCGACCGGACCTCGCCCCTTAAAAATCGACCCGATCCGAACCTAAATTATTTTTTAAAAAAATCCAACCTATCGAATCAATTCAAATTAAATTATCATCCCTAGTCTTTCACTGTTTCTGGGACAACTTTATTTGAGTAGTGCGTTGAAAAAATGATTTTTTTATTTGAGGGAGACTTTGGATCATTCGACCTTTTTTCCGAAAGACGTAAGAAAAATACGACATCTTCTCACATATTTATTTGAAGGAGACATCAAATTCTTCACACGTCTTTACAAAGACGTTGAGTGGTCCTAACGTTTTCTCCGTTTCAATATAAATACAACTCTACTCGAAATAAAAATAAAATCCGATGATCCCTACTTGTAATTTTTTCACTTTCCTACTCTAGTGATTTCCCTCTTCTTAGAGTCACGTATATATATATATCCATGGTTATTAAAATCAAATCGGACCGGATCGGCCTGTTCAACCGGTTGAACTGGTGACCTGTCCGGTCCGGTTACTTCACAAAATCGATCTGACAATGAACCGATTGAAAATCGATAGAACCGGTTGAAAACTGGTAAAACCGAGGTGAACTGAATAAAAACCGACAAAACTGGTTTGAACCGCCGGTTCACTTTTTTTTTCTTTTTTTTTTATAAAATTAAATCAAACGACGTCGTTTGTTCAACGAGCCAAGTCAAATTCGAGTATTGTTGAGCTCGACTCGAACTCGAAAACTTTAAAAGTAAGCTCAACTCGACTCAAAAACTCACGACCTAAAAAATTATCAAGTTCAACTCGAACTCGAAAATGTAATATTAAAACTTGAACTCGAAAAGGCTTGAACTCAAAAAAAATTTAAAAGTTCGATTGAAGCATAAAATTTGAGCTCAATTGAAGCGAAAGAATAGTTCGCTCTGTGCTCACCAAAATGCTCAATGATTTTGAATGTCAAATTACCTCTATTATTTATAGAAGTAAGTTGGGATGCTCTTCTATGTTTCTTAGCCATGTGAGATTATTTTTTTAAAAAAAATTAAATCAAATGACATCATTTGTTATGTTTTTTTAAGCCCCAATTTTATTTTTTTAATTATAGTTATATAATTATATTTATTATTTAATATGTGTTTAGCTAAAATATTATGTTGTAGTTGATTTGAATAATTTTGTTTCACTTGATTTTATGATTTTTAATTTATATATGTTATGACTTGTGATATTTTTATACCTTTTAATATTGTAAACATAAAAAAAAGTGTTACATATATATTAATATTACTTTGAATATTATGTAAAATAAAAAAAAATATTATTTTATATAAAATCCGGTTCAACCGCGGTTGAACCAGTGAACCTTCACCGGTTCAATATCCGGTCCGGTTTTAAAAACATTTATATATATACATACATATTCGAAGGTTGGGATGTGATACTCAAATTTTAATTATATATAATAATAAATTTGAGTATAAAAACGATGTTCGAAGATGGTGGTATGAATTTGTTAGATTAAATGATAAAAAGTTTTATATTCTTATATAAAATTTTGAATTTATTATTTATCGGATCAATCCATAAACTTTTTAAAAACTAAAATTTAAATCATTTTTAAATTTTTTAAATTTTTAGCCGCTTTTATCTATAGATTTAGATGAATAGAGTAATCGATAAACTGTTCATGAATCATTCGTATAATATTCATATATTATGCTAATTGAACGAGCATGAATAAAACTTTTATGTTCATTTAATAAACGAACAAACACGAACAGAAACGTATTCGATTCGTTTATGTTCATGAACAAGCTCATGTATAAGTTCGTTTATTGACTCATTTATAAATTTATTTATCAACTAACTTATAAACTCGTTTACAGGATTCTAAAATATTGATGAAGATAAAGACTAAATTGAACATACGATGAACTTTAAAGTTTAAATTATGTGTGTAATTTCACTATTTTCTTTGGCTTGCTAAGAAAAAGTAAGAGAGAGAGAGATGGAGGGGACTCGAATTATATCAACAAATATATTCGTAAACATTAAACGTTACACGTATGACACGAACATGTTCGTAAACGTTACACGTATGACATGGATATGTTCGTAAATGTTAAATGAACATGTTGTCATACGCTAAACGAATATGTTAAAAAAAGAAGAAATAAACATATTCCTAAAAGCTAAGCAATCCAAACACAAACACCTTAAAAATTAAAACAATAAACACAAATATAATATTAAAAATTTAAATGACTACAAATCAAATATAAACACTTTTAAAAATAAACAAACAAACACTAACACAATCTTATTCGTCTAAGGTCGATTCATCTACACCTTTAGCCTTACTTGGGGCTAGGGATGACAATTTGGGTGAATAAATTCCAGTTCAACCCGACCCGAGAATAATAATGTAACTTCTTTAAAAAAAATATTAATTTTAAATTAAATTTTTATTTTATACCGGATCGGATCGGGTTGAATTTATATTTTAAAATTTTGGGTCGAATCAGAGTCCAGTGAAAAATATTTTTTGAGTCGGATCAGATTCGGATGAAAGATATATATATATATTTTTAAGTTGGTTTGGGTTGACCAAAACCCGACCTAACCAATTGCCATCCCTATCTAGGGCCAGTAAAGACCCACATTTTCCCGCCAATCCTATCAGTTTTTAACCTTCATGATCCACCCACCCAACCGCCATTAACGACCACATAAATCACAAAACAAAAAAAAGGAGCCATCCTCCTCATCCATTCCATTAACATTTCTTCACCAATGCTTCCGCGTGGCATCATCTCCAACTTCCGATCACCAGCCGTCCCTTTCCCGGCGACATTCAAATACTCCATCTCCAACAAGGACCTCGAGTACCGAGGCTTCGCCCTTCGCCGCACTATCTCCGATCTCAACCTCGACCACCTCAACTCCGTCTTCGTAGCCGTCGGATTCCCAAGGCGTGACCCGGAGAAGATCAAACTGGCACTGGAACACACCCAGTCCCTGCTCTGGTTCGAGCACAGGAGGAGCCACAAACCGGTGGCCTTCGCCAGAGCGACGGGGGACGGCGTGTTCAACGCCATAATATGGGACGTGGTGGTGGACCCGTCGTTCCAGGGGCTCGGGCTCGGGCTCGACAAAGCCGTGATGGAACGGCTGATCGAGCAGCTGCTGGACAAAGGTATTTGTAATATTGCTCTGTACTCGGAGCCTAGGGTCTTGGGCTTCTACAGGCCCCTAGGGTTCGTCTCCGATCCCGATGGAAAGAAGAAGAAATACTCTGTTTTTCCTCTTCTTCTTCTTCGTCCCAGTTTCAAATTTTATTTACAGAATCATCATGTTCATCATTCCATAATTGACAATTTTTGCAGCTATAAATCTACATCGATATCAAATTTAATCAACACATCCTGTTTCATTCAATCAAAATCGAAGCTTTTTCCCATTATTGTAGTATTATATAACATAAGTGAGTTCATACATTCTGAAACTAGATTTCTAAAAAGACTGAGAATTCAACCTATCTACCACCAACTGCTGCGAATTTCAACCCATCTACATGAAAAATAAAGAACATAGGTTTCCAGGAAGTAAATTGCTGTTAAAAAAGCCCAGAAACCAAAGGAATCATAAACACCAAACCAAGGGTATTGAACAAAGAGATTGCCTGAGAGCACTGGAACATGAAATCAGAAGAAATATTTAGCGTGGTGCAAGAAAGCAGCAGAGCAAAGAATCGAAGCAATGAAGGCGAAAATCCCCAAACCAATCATCAGTGAAATCCCAGCTATGACCAAATCCATCAAAATCATCATTTTTTTATTCCTCAATGATGAAATGATGGAGTTTTCAAGATTGTTTTTTTTATTAATTCGTAGAGGGAAACAGAACAATCTCTCACCGCTCTTTGGAAAAATTGGATCTTCCTTTGTATATTGGTGTAGGTGTAAAGAGTGGGGGAGGATTTTAAAACAGAAGTAACCCAGAGCCTGAAACACATGTATTCTGTTTACAACACATCCTTGATGCCCTTGGCAGTTACTGTTCTGTTTCTATCTTTTGGATAAACAATACAATTGGTCCTTTATGTTTGAATAAATTTCCGTTTTTTGTCACTAATTGCATCTATGAAAATGGATACCAAACTAATACCAATCAATCATTTTTACATTTGGTAAGAATTTCCAGGCATTTTTGCAGGACCAACATTTCCACTATATTTCTTCATCGTCTCAAAGCCTTCTTTTCCAAAGCAAATAAAAAGAAATTGTCATACTTCCGAAGATAAATCTTTAGAAACGCTCAAATCCCCATCGAACTAAATATATTAAAAATTATAAATACTCCATTAGTCGACTATAATGCATAGACAAGTTCTTTAATAAATTGACTGGGATGAAATTCAAAGTTTTCGTCATCCTACTAGTAGCCATGATGACATTACCAAAAGACAATGATCAATGGTTATTCTCTTTCCGGTCGCAACTCTCCGTTCAAACTAGAAGAGGTGAACCATTCAAGGTTGACAGAACTCTTTTGTTCTCATTACAATCCGTTCCGTAAAGAATCCTCCTCCATATATCTGATTCTTACCTAAAGCAAGAACTATAGAGGTGATGCAACCATCACCAGCAAGGTCATTTGTTTTTGCACCAGCTTGCTTCACTAATTTAACTCCAACAGTCTCCAATGGATCCTTCAACTCAGTCTAAAACAATTGAGATATAATTTTGGAAAGAAAATACAAAATCTTGAATACATTAGGATTATAATTAGAGGCTTATGCAGTTGAACAATGCATCTGCAGGTGCACCTTTAGAATCGACTAATACATGAGGCCGTGTCATAAGAGCAGAAACCAGATTGGAATAGCTCTAGGCTTTTTCGAGGTGGAATAATGTGAAGATGATGAACATGCCATGATTGAGTTTCTGGGGATATATTCCAAAAATTGGAAAACTTGTGAACTGCTTTAGAGTCTTCAGCTTTACTTGTTTGTCCCTTTAAAGGACAAGCAAAACCTGCAGGTTTTATGGATAGAACTTACTATTTATGCAGTGGGATCACTGTTCAAGCAGGAACCTGAACCGCAGGTTGTGCTTTGTTCCTTTTTGGTGAAAACAACGTAAGCTTGGAGATGAAAACTCCAAGTTCAAGACCAAGCCATTGATGTAAAAAAAAAAAAGAGTACTCAGGGGGGGTCATATTTAGTGGATAGCCTTTTACAAAATGTTTTGCACAGTTACAGTAACTATTTTCAATGATGAATCCACTAGCAACACAATTTTCCACCACCATTTGTCCTCTTGCCCCCTGTTATTGTGAACAGCAATGGAGAATTGGCCTGGCTATGGGGCCACCACTCTAGAAGCAGTAAATTTGGCTATATATTTATAATTCATATTATAGGTCAAAATTCTTTACCTAATCCATATCTTAGGTGAAAATCTATTATTCGAGTATTATATTAAATTCATGATTGAGTGATTGATTTGTTTCTGTGTATGGATCACCGCTGATACACGTTGTTTTTATCGTTTTCGGATTAGTGTTTATGCGGCGAGAAGAGCCCTGGATGAGTTATATGAAAATATGATCAAAAGATGTTATTGCATGGTTGGATTTTTGTCCCATACAGCCATAGAAAACTGAGGAACATTTATTATATATACGTGTGTATATATCTATATGGGAAGATGACTCTTATTTCAATGAAGCAAGTCAACTGAGTTAGCAATAGATTGATTTATGGACTCAGCTTTCAAGTAAGCAGTGTTGCAGGGGACCTCTTCCAGCTCTCTGAATGCAAGGGAATAAGGACTGCCGATTTTAATGTCGGACAGCATTTGGCGAAGATCGGAAGCTTCTTCCTTGAGCCTTGCATTCTCTTGAAGGACACGGTCATGGGACTCCGATACATGGTTTAGCTTGTCTATGAGATTGTGGTTCTCATTACGAAGCCTGATGACCTGTGACCACAGTTCATCCAGGTGCTTCTGTTTCCGCATCCTCGACCGCCGAGCGGACTCTCTGTTTGATATCATTCTCCGCTGTTTCCTCTCGTCGGTGAGTTTTACCTGGTGCTCCTCGGCCTCGTCTGAAGTTGAATTATTGCTGATACTGGAGGACAGCGGGGTGAGCTCGAGGGAAGAGGGCGTGATGTGGGGATTCGGAAGGCTGTTAAAGAATGTATTGAAGTGAGAAGATGGTATAGAGTTTTGCATCATGCCAAGATTGGACGGAATAAGGATCGGGTTTTCCGGAGCTAGGTAGTGAAGTCCTCTGAGCTCACTGGGAACCATGGTTTTTAAGTCGTGGAAGTCGGTGCTGAAGCCGAAGAAGGGTTCAATATGTTGTATCGAATGATTGTTGATGACTTTGAAGGTAAGGGAGGAAGGCACAAATGAAGAGCTTTTATAGGAGGAAAATTGTTTCTAAGGTGGGCCAGTTTCAGCAACAAGTGTAACTGTAGGTATGCTTGTATGCATGAATGTAAGAAACCACTAGCTTTACATCACATAAATATTTATTCATGCATATAGTACACGTACACATGTATGTATGAATGTCTGTATGCATGCATGGGTATCATGTGTGTATGTCATAAGAAATTTCAGATTTGGATAATCATATAGCATCTGATATAATGCTCAGCAAATAGGAAACTTACTGATGGAAAATTAAGAAATGGATTTGAAGTTAATCTCAGGAGTTGTTTTCATACTTCAAAACACCAATTAGGGGAATAAAGCATTGTGCCTTGTGACGCAATCAACTCTAGTTTAAAAGGTAAACCATTAAACAAAACATAGTTTCTCATGACTAATTTAATTATAAATCAGATGACTCATTTAAGCACTTCAATTTTAAGACATAGTTTATCATCATGGCCTAAAACCCCAGCAATCTCATCATCATTCATTGAACTGAGCAGCAAATAGTTTAATACTTGAGTTGAATTGCTTTCTATCTGATATGTTATGGATCGAAAAACTCGAAGATGTTGACTAAACAACAAGCAATCTACATGTGGGAATAGTTCATTGCCTCTTAACTGGTTATCTGGTTTGTTTTTCTTTCATGAAATATCATCGATTGGCACGATCTCCATGTAAGTACCTAAAGTAGCTTTTGAAGTATATTTTTCAGTACACGAGCATCAGTTGTTTGTTGAGGATTAATTAGTATATTGCATATGATGTATATCCCCTTGAGGCCCACTTCCAAATGTGATAAGGGTGAGATTAATTAAAAGATAAAGATTAGATTATAAAAAAAGTGTTGGCAAATCTCATAAGTAGCATATTAAAAACCAATGTTTTCTGATATCTGTTAATGGGAGTACAGTATTTTAACCACATGTAATCCGTTGCCGCGTTTCGTAACACTGCATAGGTTAGGTAATTCTCCATTAATAGAACTAATCTTGGCTAGCTGCAGAAGAAGTGAACATGTTTCAAATGCAAGGCATCCAAAGTAGGTTAGGTAAGATAATATTTAGAAATCATGTGGGGGTGTTCTGCATCAGTGTTCATCCCGGCTAGGCTGTACGATGTCGAACACATCAATGTTTTATGCATACATATATGCATATATGTGTTGTGAGTTATACAGCACATGTAATAAGAGAGACTTTTTGAGAAACACCTGAAAAACCAAAGCTGACAAAAGGAGTTCGACCAGATATGATTGAGTGATTGGTCATCATTCCTACAACTTGGTTTCCTGTGGGTACCATCGCAGATACTATTTGTGGAATGTGAATGATAAATTGGACATCTCATTCATAATTTCAGGTTCAGAAATTGAGCAACCGACATATATGGCACTGAAAATCTTGCCATGTTCATTGGTGTTGTCCGAATCGTTGTCGTTCTTACTATCCCGGGAACATCAACTGAAACCTGCAATATGTCATGGAATTCGAGCTCTTCATGGCACTTTCCGCCCTGATATGGCAGTCTTAAGCAATTAGTACTAGTGCCGGTGAGATTTGTTCACCTTTTGGCGTATAACTTGCATCAAATGCATACCATGTAAAAGACTAATCCTACGTATTAACTAAAATTGGATTTTCTTCATTCAATAAAGGAACATGCCTTGGTTTGATTAATCATTGGAAAAATTGGAGGCTGAGCTAAGGTTTTGGGGTCCTACCAATTCAAGAAAACAAGTAAAAGAATAAAAAGACAATGGCGCCTTGCAAACATGCTTTTTCTTTATCCTCATACATGCCTAGCCTAATATGTTTGCTATAGCTAGTGTGAAGAAAAGAAAAGGGGGAAGTGCTGCGTATGGTGGGAGACTCGATATAACACCTAATCCATTTCGTGCCGAAACATCATCCGAGAAGCAGTAACCTTTGAATCAAAACACA